AGAACTGGTGATCTTGGAGAAGGAGTTTTTGGCTTCAAGTCTAAGTTGCAGGAAGAGATAGATGATTTAACTGATTTCACGGTGAATCAAGTAAGAGAAAAGCAGTGGAAAATAAAGGAGCTGTTAGAAGGCCGTTGTGCAGGAGAATCATTGACCCTAGAGGAAATAGAATTAGTCACAGAATGGAAGAACGCTGCGCTTGAAGCAAGAAAAAAATATCTAGATTTGTTAAGGAGAGCAATTGATGTAATCAACACAGCTGCGAGTGAACAGCTGCATTATTACTTAATTAATTTCAGACGATTATTGGAGGAAATGCAGAACGACGGGCCATATCAGAAACTTTTTAATACAAGAGATTTCCACAGGCTGATAAACGTGACAGTGCGACGCATAGGGACGAGAACCGTATTCATAATTGAAATGCCAGAAATTGAGTCAGAGGAATATCACCTATACAGAATGTATGGACTTCCATATTTATATTCAAAAAATGGAGGAAAAGAGGCTATTGCTATTCAACCGAGAGCTAAGTATTTGATGGTGGCAGACAACAGAGTCTGGGAAACTCTAGTAGATGAAGATCAGCTAAGTAACTGTGTAAAAACAGGACAGTTCATGGTATGTATACCTGCATACCCTTTTTACAGGCTAGAATCCTTAGCGGGGTGTGAGGCCAAACTCTTTCACAGTTATTTTGGAGGGTTGCCAGCAGACTGTAAAACAGTAAGCAAGTCAGGTAATGGAATACAATGGCAGGCATTGACCTCAAGCGGAGGATGGATATATTCAACCATGTACCGAAGGAGTGTGAACATAAGTGATTACTCAGGGCAGATAAAAACTGTGCTCATTACTGGCACAGGGATCTTAAGAGTAGATAAGGCTCATCATATTAGCTCAATGGATAGTTTAGTATATGGAGAAGCTTCCAAAAACATTACAAAAATGAAAGCTGTTTATAGGAGATTGACCTTTGTAGTAGGAAGACAGGAAACACCAACAACAACGACCACGACGAGGACCACAACAACAGAAGTACCAAATAAAGATATGGAGATAGTAAATGTTACGTATCAGGAAATGAGGAACAGATGGAGATACTATTACAGAAAAATTATGAGAAGGCCAAATTAATTGAAAATATGGAAACTCGATTATATAAAAATGAATTAACCACAATATCGCTATTTATAACCTTGGCATTTTCTATCATCACAATGTTGATCATCTCATGCTGCCGCAGAACGCGAAAATACACGATAAAAAGAAGTGTAGAGACAGAGACCGAGCCATCGTCTAACTACGATGTTCCAAAGGCACCTCAAAGAGCAGTGCAATTTTCATTCCAAGAAGAAAATCAGTTGCTGGGAGAAACAAGAACAGAATATGTTGAATTGTCAACGGTCCAATAAGAAGAAATTTTTCCTTTTGACGCACATGGTTTGCACTTTTTCAACAAATATATATATACATATATACAAGAAGTAGTGCTTATAAAATAATATTTATAATCACTAGTGGTGTGGTTCACGCTTTATATTTGCTATTTGACGATTTGTATCTAGTACTAGATTGTATTGGAATATTTTTTTTTGTTGTCTTGGTGAACTCTAGGTATACAAGGTATTGAACAAGAACAAAGAAAGGAGTTGGGCATCATGACTGAGGTGGATATAGCTTTTGAAGCCACAGATAATGGCCAGGGATGTTTTATGTGTAAGGATATTAACTGTCCAATAACCGTATTGAGCAAGGAGGCTGACAAACTTTTCAAGTCTAAGATTCAGTATAGCGGGGATTTCAACCTGTATACAAGAAGCAGAATAGTAATAGCGAAGCTAAATGGTGAAATTGCCGTGGGAGAAGATTTTGATATCCATCATGCTATGAGAAGAGCCGCGGACGTTTTAATTTGGAAGTTACCGGTAATTAAGGAAGGAATGGACAGAATACGAGGCAAGGTAGTCAAGCAAAAGCAGGGAGAACATTCTGGAGCAGATAAGAGATCTACCTATGAGCCGCCACCCAATGTAAGAGGATGCGTGTGCTTAAAGGAAAACTGCTATGTTACTAGATTAACGGAATGGTGTCGACAGAAGACCAGGAATATCATACCTAAATATTATGTTTGTCGCGGTTCAATACATGGATCAGTAGCTGTGTTTTGTGCAGTTGGAGAATTAGTAACTATGAGTGAAGAAGGGTCTACTGATGTGCATAAAGCAGCTCAGGGATCCGCAAAGAAGCTGTTAGGAAGATTGCAGGGAGCAGAAATGAAGAGAAAAATAATGCAAAAAGGGAGACAGGATACAGGGGAACAGCCTAGTCAAGGAGCTCTGAAAAAAAGACAGGTGGCTACCGAAGAACCTCAACCGGGGCCGTCAAACCAAACAGCTTTAGTAGAAATATTTGCAAGTGAATTATCGCAAGAAAAGAAGAAAAGAGAAACAGAACTAATAAGATGGTTGAAGCAAAAGTTGAGTTATTACAATATAATACATTACAATGAGGTGAGGACGTCCAGAGACAGTGCAGTAAGGAATTATGGAGTACCCGGAATAATCATGAGCTATCTAGGAGAGGGGATTTTTACCCACGAGTGCCGTATAAAAGTCGGAGGGCGAGACGAACTGAGCGTACTTAGTCTTGGAACTTCAGAAGCCAAAGCAGCATATACAGGCATTAACGCAGTATTGCAGAGGCTCGACCCAGCAAGTACCAGAGCAACACAAGGGGAATCATCTAACCAGCCACAGTAAGGAAGAGGCAAAGAAAAAATTTCTCCCGTCTGAGAAATTGGAGGAGAACAAGCCGAGGCAGAGAGAGATTGTAAATTTTTTTTTATTCTATTACGTGAGACAAGGGCAAAAATGTGTGGCGAAGAAACCCCTGCTGTAAGCAATTCAGGTACGAGGTCCTCAAATTAAGAGCGCAGAGAACATTAGGTGAACAACCCAGCTGTATTTGATGGAAGAGCCTGGAGTAGAGGAGACCACGGTGGAGCTATGGATAGGCCATAGATACCAAGTAGGGACACATCGGAGCAGGAACGAGGCCTTGCTGCAAGCAATTCAAGCGGCAGAGGACAGGTTGGACTACGAAGTGGTGGAGACACACCGCAAGAGGGAAAACCTAGTAAACCGACTTCTAAACATCGCCAGAGAGATTGAGGAAAGAAATTCACAGGGCAACAACAGTGACTAAAATGAGCACGTGCTAGTGTAATTTGTGTGAATTGTATAAAAGCACCGGCACCAGAGTGACAATTTATTTTTTAGTGAGTGTTCAGTGTAAACAAAAGAAAATAAAAAAAATATATATGTATGTGTATTAAATGTATGTGTGGGTAGCACAGAATATATATATATGTATTAAATGTATGTGTGCTAATATTACAAAAAAAATGTATGACTATTAATTAATCAATTGTTGTAACAATCTTTTTGCATGAAGTCATTATTCGTATTGCAATTTAAATGTATGTTGAATGTTTGTAACCTTGGTGTGAGCGAAAAAAAAATAAAAAAAAATATACAAAATTACATAAAGACAAATCACCACGACTCGAAATTTTTTTTTACACTAAATTATCAACACTAGTTACACATAGCCTAGACTTAATATTTAAATTAATATTTTGTAAAGGTAGCAGAAAGAATCTTAAATGGGGAAGATGGACTCGCGCAGTAACCATTGGGTCACTAGCACTCATCCAAAAGCAGGGAGATTTGTTATGTACCAGAGTACACAACATTTTTGTTAAAATAAAATAAAATATATTAAAGTTAAAAAAGAAAAAGAAACAGTAAGCAGAGGAAAGTCAGGTAAAGAAAAATCAATGAGTGAAGTCAGACTTGAAGGCACCAAGGGGAAACTCAAGGACGCTAGGTGGACAGACAGGTGAAGGAAAGAAGAGAAAGCGGGCGTAAAGGCAGTTCAAGAGGCCCGCACGTGGATAGCCTGACTAAAGGAAATTTGGATATTCAAATCTACCGGATTGGCAGAAAGAGCAATAAGGCTACCACCTCCAGCTTTTCAGAGGGGTTGGAACCCTGGATAAATAGTCCAGATTTTCCCAAGGAACTTCAGTCTCTGCTGAATTTTTGTTGGGCTTGGTGCAAATTTTTGAACTGTAGTCTACTTCAATTTGATTTTTTAAGAGAAATTTATTCTCGGTAACTTTAAAGATTTCCTTCAATTTATAATCATTCAAGAGAAACAATTCTTTTAGAATTTTCTTCTTGAAGAAAATAATTCTTCTATTTACTTAAATTAGTATATTTTTAAAACTCAACTCGACCAAAGAAATATTTTTTTTTCTTTAAAATAATAAAAACATTTTTCTCAACTCGTCGGGAAAGATTTTGTGAAGAAAGATCTTTGAGAAAATATATATATACGTGAGCGAACGAGCGAAGTCGAAGTCTACGAGTAAGAGAGAGAGGTGCGGTACGGCGAGGGAGCCCAAGCGGCTGTAAATCAACCAACCAGGGAGCCTAGCCGAATATCTTCAGGCAGCACCACAACCTGCTACGCACCGACCTGCTGAACAGCGCTTCAACTTTCTGCTACCTATCAGTTTCACCCTTGTAAAACAATTTCTGTTCAACTAAAGTGAGTAAAGGCTAATAAAGATTATCTGTAATAAAAAGGAACAATTCTCTTCTTCATTTGTTGCACCAAAGTGGTTTGCCAGCACTGATTACCTTACCTATTTCTTTAATTTTCCATCTAAAATAAACTCTGCGAGGTCTCCGCACCCGAGTGGAGTAGAAGGCGATTGTGTCTTGACTCAAAAAAGAGACCGTTCTGTTACGGGGACGTAACACTAAGATCATGGTCACGCACCCCAAAATGTACCACTTCTGGCTATTTATTCTGGTGTAGCAAGGTGTCCTTGGAATGGACCGGCCCGACGAGCAGTCTCCACCTGCCTCGACAACCTCGAGGGGTCAGCACTCCAGAACCCAGCGGTATCGCCGCCGACGGGAGAGAAGATGGCTACTGGAAACTGCCATCCTACTGGGCCTCCGCCCGGTAACACTGCGATCTCCGGGCTCTCAGACACCAACAAACGAGTAAACGACCTGGCTGCGTTCGCCGCCACCCTATCTAAACAACAGGATCATTGGAGGCTCATGGTCGAAAAGGAGCGCGACTACACTCTGCTTGGCCTCCACTTCTATCGTGTCATCGAGCGGCACAACTCTCTGATGCGACAGACTATCCTGGCCGTAGAGGAAGCAAAAAGGGGTATCCTTAACCCCACATTAGTATCTGCCGACCAAGTTAGACAAGCTGTGCGGCATATTGAAGAGAAGCGACCACACCTCAATCCCCCTCAGCCTTTGGACCACATAGACCTACAAGTACTCTCAAAAATCGCTAGGGTCTCCGCCGCCCGCGTAGGAACCTACTTTGCCACCATTATAGAAATCCCGCTTCTGGAAAAACAATTGTGGAAAAGCTACCACCTTCGGCCCTACAGAATACCACAGCCCTGGGGAACTGGAACATCAGTTCTCACTATCCTTCCAGAAAAGGAGTTCCTAATCATGTCCGCGGACAGAACCAGGTACTTCCTAGCATCACGAGCGGAGCTAACCGACTGCCTACCAGCAGGAAGAAGCCTAGCCTGTGTTCCTGCCACGGCGCTGAGTTCTACCGAAAACAAGCCCGTCTGTGAAACCCAAGTTCTGAGAGACCCTTCCAACCAAACCCTCAGAGCGTGTAATCTTCGCCTGACACAGTCACGAGTCACCGAGTGGATCGCATTGACTCATCGAAACTCATGGCTCTTCTCCCTATTCCAACCTGAAATATTTAACATCATCTGCGAGGGCCAACAAGTGACGACTCTACATCTGGATAGGGCCGGAATCCTAGACCTATCGCCCGGCTGAGTCGCTCAAAACCGCTTCGAAACCATTCTCATCCTGGGGGAGTACCAGACCAACATCACTGGAATAGTCCCTGAGACCTCCCTTAGCCTTGACTCTCTTTCTCCCAACTCACTTCAACCCCAGATGAACGGGTAAAGAACCGTCTTCCCACCATAGATACTCAGCTGCCGTGGGGTAGTGGCTTGGACCTGATCGAGACGGAGCTTGACCAAATTGGGTTACACCATCAACGAGACCGGCAGCATCGCTCCTGGACCGCTGGCATCGCTGGTGTCGTGGGCATTATCAGCACCATAATCATCGCCTTCGGGGCCTACAAGTGCTGGGCTAACACCACTTGCAGCCGCCTGCGCTCCATACGCCGACGCTCTCCGACCCTACAGGAACGGCGAGGGAACAACATTCTTCTGTCCATAATAATTCCGAAGGAAGTCGCTACAGGAATACCATCAGATCCGGCTCCACCCTCAGGAACACCAAAGGAGGCTCCACTAAGGACGCCTGCACGAAGGTCCGCTTCCAGAGCCGGCGTGGTCATCTCTCCTGCCTCGGCCGCATTTTAACCTCTCTATTCTTTGTTAATTTTAAGTTATTTTTAGGCTAGAGTAAGTTAGTTTTATTTACGCTAGGGAGACGTTGGGACCTTCCGTCCACTCCCTATGAAACAATTGCCTCGTTCTAGTATCTATCTCTTATATCGTACCTTCCTTTATCAACCTAACTAAGACCATAACTTTCTACCTAGATTGAGTTCTCACTGTGTATTCAGGACTCGAACTTGGTCTAAGTGATATCCGCTTTCCCTGTAAGAACCTCCGGAATGCCTTATTACGTAGTAACCCGGGGTCGCCGAGTCGGTGTCTTTCCCACCTGGGATGAGTGTCGGCTGCAAGTCAGTGGATACCCAGCTCCAGTCTTTCGGCGTTCTCGTCGATTTCACGAAGCCAAGGAGTTTCTTCACCGAGGACTACAGTCTAGCTCTTCCATCAGGGCCATAATTAACAGCACCCTGTTCTAGCGGGGCCCGGAAGGAAAAATTTCTATCTACACTGACGGAGCCTGCACCGGAAACGGCACCTCTGAAGCTCGCGCAGCCATTGGGGTATTCTTCAATGAGGATCACCCAGAAAATATTTCTAGATGTGCCCCTAACCGCAAGACCAACAACGGTGCCGAGTTAGAGGCGATTCAAGAAGCAGTTCGGATCGCTAAGCGCCATCAATTAAAGGGAGTTCTCATCTACACGGACTCTGGTTTCCTAGTTAATAGCCTGTGCCACTGGCTACCCGTCTGGAGAAGCCGAAACTAGCGCACTTCTTCCGGTCGCCCTGTGATCTACAAAGATGAGCTGCTGTCGCTAGCTGCCGATCTAGAGGTACTAGACGCGCAAGTCAAACACGTCCCCGGTCACCTTGGAGTGCTTGGAAATGAGTGCGCAGACCAGCTGGCGCAAAAGGCATTGTCGGCATCCGCGCCCCCGCCCACGGACATCTAGGCAATACAAAGCCTGCTTGCAGCAGACGTTCGTCTTGAGGGGGGAATGTTATGTCCGACTTTATGGTTACAATTTTTCTTTTGAATGAAAAAAACAAAATAAAAATTTAATTGTCTCAATTACTACACTTGTTACTGCACAATGTCCATCCAATAATATACTACAATGTGTTTAAGACCTAAAAAAATATTTCAAGAGGTTGTTCTCTCATTTTCGTGGTTGCTTATACTTAAATAACCTATAATTAAAGAATATAATTTACTAAAAATTTAAAATAAAATTGCGAATTATTTTTTTGGTGGCATTGAATGTCATTGCGGAGGCCCGCATTAAAATAAGTACATCTCACGACGTGTTGAAGGCCTAAAAAAAAATTCCAGTTTGTTTTCTGATATTCTCGGTTGCTTATACTTTGATAATCGATAATTAACAGATATAATTTAGTCAGGAGTATAAAAAAAATGCTAACTTTTTTTTTGGTGTCATTATATGTCATGTCGGAGGGCTAGGAGTAAAGTAAGTACGACCTACGATGTTATGTCCGACTTTATGGTTACAATTTTTCTTTTCTTTTTTTTCCCTCCCTCATATATATATATTTGGCTTTATTTTTGGTAACCCAAAAATAAACGCATACTTAATTTACCGATATACTGACGAAATAATTTTTGTCTTTGACGGAAATTGAGTTTCACGCTTCCTCATGAGAAAATTCATTTCCCATGCAGAAACCCGAAGCCCTTGCTTAATGTAAAAATTCGTTTTGTTTAAATTTTAGTTTCTCAAGCTGACTAAGCTGAGAAACAGGTCTTTATTTTAGCTACCTTACGAAGTAGAGGCTATATTTAAATAAAAATTACATTGTAAGTACTTTTTAAATAAAACGCTGAAATCGGAAGCGCTTACGATGGTTTATCGTTCCGGTCTTCTTGGAAACCCCCGGCGACTTAGACCAAGTACCGAGTTTACCTGTAGACTAAACAATTTTTATCTGGGCTTTTTGTCACTGACCAGAGATTAGTCAAGACAGCCCGCGTACTTAGCGTCGCGAGAATTTTATGACGTCAGTTTGCTCAACGACGTCGAACGAGCAGTCCATTTCCGTTTTAATTACGCATAAATTACTCTTCGTATCGAACTAATATCTACAAGTGATTTAAATAATAATCCTATCTAATAATAGTTTATGACTAATAAATATTTCACACATACATTTATAAACATATACCGATATATATATATATATTGAGACTATTCCTGTTACTAAAAGTGGCATAATTTCGGTGTAATTAAAATATTAAATAAACTTCGTAACGAGACAAAACCCGTGGTACAACAAATTATTGGTGCCTCTCTGGATAACATCCCGACAACCTGCAGCAAGTTCAATCCTTCCATCATCGGTCGTAGCTGTGTAGGATAAGTTATCTACAAAAAGGTAAGGTGCACATTTATCCCGATATCCAAGGAAAAATCACTCCGCAAGAAAGGGTCTGAAGGATAGAGTCCTTCTGAACGAGCCCTAAATGAAAAATAAAAATTAAAAGATAGAGGAATTCTGTCCTCTATCTGAGATTAACTTACGTCCGCGCCTCCTGGGCCAAGTTCACACCGAGCGCTTCCAACGTATCTCATAAATTTTAAATACTGCAAAAGGACAAATTTCAATCTTAATTTTTCGCGCCTTTTCATTTAATTAAATTTTCATAAAAACTCGGACGTAACAACGACGTATTTAAGGCCTAAAAAATTATTTCTAGAGTTTGTTTACTCATTTCCTTAGTTACTTATACTTCAATAATTAATAATTAAATATAACGAATTTGAATAATAACTGTGAAATATCAATCCTGAATTATTGGATTCTGAGAAGTTACAACTTGCTTATCCAAATATTGTCAATTCAGATTGTATAAACAATATTAAGACTCGTGATGAAAATAGTCTTCATATTCTTCACGTAAACAATATTGGTAAATCAGATTCATTGACCCATTGGTTTGACGAACGTATAAATTTACCTGACAATGATAACTCTTCAAAGAGTACCGCAAATGAATCTTATACACCAAATTCCATAGAAGTTTCCACAATGATCCGTTAATGTCAAAAGAAGAAAATCAGGAAAATAATAATGCAGATGTGGAAAAAATTAATACTATTGAGCATGGTGTGATGTTTATATTTAGAAATATGGTCGTCATGTTACACACAAACATAAAGAGAAGCAGGAAGTTAAAGATATATTAGAATAAGAATCTTATGGAAAACGTCAACAACTTATATCAAATCTAAGGAACAATCACATATTCATCAATAACTATAAGCTAGAGGATCGTAAAAAATTTATAGTTCGTCATCGCCTCAACAAAAATGCATCAAAACCACATTCTAAGGATTATATAGCATGTAATACATGCAAAATGGTTTTGTTAAAGGCTATGTTCTGACTTCGAGTCGGCCGGATGAGAAAAATAAAAACTAATGGACTGTAATGATAGGAAGAAAACAACGAAAAAGGTTGGATGCTAGAAGGTTCCTTAAAATAGTTTATTAACACCAAATTGTATGGGTTTTTATAGATTTTATTAACCAATAACACTTAACTTAAACAATAGAAATTAATAATCACTGAGTTTATGTGAGTTGACTGTACATTACTTGTTCATACACTTTTGAATTGTCTGATGGTTGTTTTTTCACCAAAAAACGTCTCAAAACAGTGAATAGCAACATTCACGGTATACACCAGAGTTGTTCGGGTGTGCGATGTATATGTGAATGTCCGTGAGGCACTATAGCGTCGACGCCAGTTCAGCTTCGCGCCCAAAGACACTACAACTGACTGTACTGGACCACTGGCACTGATGAGAGTAATGATGATGATTCACTTTTGTTCGTGAGAGTTGTCTGAGTCTACTTGACTGTATTTGGTACTACCAAGGTGAGCTGACTGCACAAAACCGCGATTTGACTGCGAACAATTATACAGAGATGACCGCGGTGATTTGCCTGGAGCTAACTGACGCCACAAGTGCTCGACCCGCGTGCTTGTTGGCGTCACTAGGGCCGTAGAGTCGCCTTCTGGGCCATGAGGGAAATACTTCCCGATGATTGGTCCAGTGAGTTGACTGAAGCGCCGGTGGACAAGTCCGGCATGAAGAAATTTTGATTATTCCTGACTAACTGACTTGGGCCCTCCAAGTCAGAACAAATACGAAAATCAATAACTAAATTTTTCTATATTGTTTATAGATTATTGAATTATTGTTGGTTATTTACCAGCTATGAAATGAGAGCAAGGCTGTAATTAGACGACTACGCTTTGTCATTTAATATTTCAGTGATATATATTAATAATATAATGATATACTAGTATAGGTTTATAAGTATATAATAAAATAGAAAGGGTTATAATTAATGATAAAATTCATTAAACTTGATCAATTCAGCAGGAAAGGATCCGTAGTGATATTTAATATTATTAATATTATATTAATGACTA